GTGGATTTGGAGAAGGCTTATGACCATGTCCCCAGGGGCACCCTGTGGGGGACGCTCCAGGAGTACGGGGTGGGTGGCTTTGAGCGCTTGCGCGAGTGGCCGGGTGCAAGGCCGGATTAACCATATGGGAACTGGGCAATTGCCCAGGGCCCACTAACTCTACAGGGCCCAGACCCAGGGCAGCAAGGGCACAAGCAAAATACTGTATCTGTAATCTCCCGCTTTATATTAAACTATGGTGACCGTATGTCCTGTTTTCCCCAGACATGTCCACTTTTCACTCTGTCCGGGGTGGGGTGGGGGTGAGGTGGGGGTGGGGGTTCTTGTATAGATGAAAATATCCGGTTTTTCATCCAGGAGCAGGGATCGAATTATGGGGGAGCTGTATATCCTACACATCCAGGGGAGCCGGGAAAAAGTTTTCTACCTATATTACATCATTTATATGCTCTTTTGAGCAGAGAGTACAGAGAGCGGCACAGCGCTGCATTGTTGCGCAGCACTCCAGGCAGCTGCTTCCAGCGCATGATCTATTCTCAAAGTGGCGCAACCAAAAAACTATCATTAACACACGATCGTTCATGTCCGCACATGTTCTCTATTTTCTGTCTTATTTGTGCCTGAAGCGGTCTGCTACTGCGGGGCTCATCACCTGTGCTGCGGTGATTTCACCTAACTGACGCAGCATCGAAACGCGCTCTCCGCTTTGCGGTCAGGAGATCCCTTTGATCTGCTCAAAAGTAACTGATGAGGCGAAAAAGTAAGAATCCAGGCAGCAGTTTTTCTGGAGAGTTTAGAGGAGATGCAGGAAGATGAGAGACGGACAGGACAGGAAAACAGTTAAATAAAAACAAGAAAACAAAACAAAGTGTTGAAAAGTAAAATGTAGGTAGATCTATCTCCACTACACGTTTTTACCTGTATAAAACAATAAGTTACACACATGTAATATTTATACATCTGATACAATTCAGATCACCTTCAAAACTCAGTCACACACCCAGGGCCGTTTCAAGACATTTTGGGGGCCAAGGCAAAATGACCCCCCCCCCCCCCCCCCCCGCACACACACACACACATAACTGGGCTCCCCAGAAGCCTCTGTGTAATTCATACCCTCTCCAGTAGTGTTAGTTATACAGTGTTTATAAAAGCCCCTCAGACATTACTGACATGTTCTAATATTATCAGATGAAAAACTAAATTATCAGACATGCTTCTCATCTGCTGCTTTTCTAAACTTGCAAAAAGTAACAAAAGCCACTATTTGTGGATTCTCTGAAAGTTTCCATGGAGTGTGTGACAACTTATTTTTTCATTGACCATATCTTCTAATCTCACAGCTGAAACAAGCGTCCTTAATAATCTGTCCACAGGAAGCTTACCGATGCTGTAGTAAAACAAAAGGTATAATAATGTCTTATTAATAAAACCTTGTTGCAGCACTAAAGCAGAAAAATTAGATTTTGCAATAAATATGCAAAATATTTACATATGAATTGTTTTAGAGCCCTTTTATTGGCAGAATCTGATATTAATTTAGTTCTTACAAAAAAAATGGGTCCCAACGTGGTTTGTGTGGCGTTGCCATAGTGTGACGTCATAGGCACAGATCCCCTGTCCTCTTTTTTGGAAATGGAAATATGATCACCCTACATTAAACAAACTGTCCACCCGGGCTTTTGCGCTGCACAGAGTCGCTTCGCTTCCTATGACACTGAACGTCAGTTGAGAGTCAGTCTCATGCAGACTGACCAATGAAGAGAGGGCCTCAAGTTAAGACCCTCTCCTCATTGGTCAGTCCACACGAGGTGGGTCAAAGGTTACGGGTTACGTGACATCAGGCATTCAAGTATTGAGTATATTTACTGCATATTACAGTAAAATATTCTGTATGTGACCATATTGTGGTGATCCTTGGGTCGTGATGATGGGGCCCTTTAATATTGTTGCCCAGGGTACAACAAAGTCTTAATCTGGCCCTGGCTGGGTGGCAAAAACAAACACAAAATGGTCTGCTATCAATAGGCAATGCAAACTTTTAAGTGTTTGCAAGTGAAATCCCCAATAGATAAACACACCAACGTCTAAAGACAATAGATTTAGAGAGAAGCTTAAAATCTGTACTGAAGACAAAATTACAGTTATTAAAAGCTCGTATCAATTTCCCTCTGGGATTAATAAAGTATTTTTGAATTTGAATTGAATTGAATTTGAATTGAATTTGTATGAGCACTAGGATGACAGAAAACGTTGGTCCGATTCGCCTGTATTTTATTTGTTGAGGAGACATTTATTCCTATTCAACAGAAAGCCCTGGAGCCTTCACTCATATAAAATCAAAGGCTTTCAAACCAAGTAGAGCCAAGCTCTTCTGAAAACAGAAAGCGGCGGTTATGCTAAGAGCAGCAGTCAGAGTCACAGCATGATTCTCATCACCTGTGGGTGATGGCCAGAAAAAAAAAATAAATCCTCACCGCAACTGCAAAGTAAGCCTTGATCAATCAGTGTCCATATTTATTTCTTTATTATTATAATGGTTGCGGAATGAGACACCTGAGTCAGAACGAGAAAACAACACGACTCCGTGGATTTAAAAACACATGAAGATGAATGTTTTTAGAAACCTATTCTCTAATCAACACATACTTATTTACTATGCTTTAACACATAGCATTCCTAAAGGGGAAAGCTTTACTTTAGAAATCAGTATGAAATTATGATTTTTAGGAAGCAAAGAGCAAACTGTCATGAGGGATGAGAACGAGGTCCACCTGACGGCCTGTTTCAGCCATTTTCTTTCAGTGATTTTGGTGTTTCAGGCGAAAACCAAAAATGCATTTTTGGGTCATTTTCAGCTGAAATATTTTAGTGGCTGAATTTTCAGAGCATCCCTAGTATTTTGATATGGTAGTCAGAGGACTTCGCTTCACTCTAGCTAAACTCTGTGAGACTTCACATCCACCTCTTTTTCAACTCTGAATTGCTTTAATAACCTAAAATTATCTCCAATCCGATGGCCAACCAAGACAATGGAAAACTCATTTATTTGCCCAGGAACAGAGCGCATCGCTGGATTTTGCCGCCTCTCATGTGACAGGTTATCAAAGCGATGGCCAAAGGTTTAGCTGATCAGTCATTTGTCACTTAAGAAATATCTCCAAACTGCAAAGGTTGGTGTTCAAACATGAACCTGAAATGGTTCTCCATGCCTTTATCTCCTCCCGTCTAGATTACTGAAACACACTCTTCACATTTTAACCAAAAAGCCCTCGACCGCCTTCAGTTGGTCCAGAACTCTGCAGCGAGGCTCCTAACTGGAGCTAACAGAAGAGCTCACATCACTCCTATTCTGATGTCTCTGCACTGGTTACCCGTTAACTTTAGAGTTCATTTTAGAGTCCTGACTAGAACTTTCAGGGCTCTACACGGTCAGGCTCCTCCCTATATTATTGACCTGTTAAAGCCTTATGCTCCAACCTGAGCCCTCAGGACCACCCACCAGAACCTTCTAGAAGTTCCAAAGACCAGATACAAAAGTCGAGGTGATGCTCCTTCCAGACTGTTGCACCCCGACTCTGGAATGATCTTCCTTTATCCATACGCAGCGTTGACAGTCTGGACCCTTTTATTTAAAGCTGCTTTTAACCAAACCTTTTATTTTCTTATTTTTAACTCACATTTGTATAATCTTTCATCTGTTTTACAAAATTTTATAATTTTTTTCTGATGTTAATCTATTTCTGTTTTGAAATCATGATGATGTATTATCTATGTGAAGCCCTTCGTGATTCTATGTCTGTGATAAGTGCCATAGAAATTAAATGTACTTACTTACTTTACTTGCACTCCTCAAAAACGTCCTAAATAAGCATGAGTAAAAATCTGAAGATAAAAATGTCAGAAAGGGTTGATCTACATCCACAGCCTACTTGAAAGGCAAAATTCTTCATTCTAGAAATGCAACTGGGGGCCACTCAAAATCACTCTGAGGACCTCCAATGGCCCCCGGGCCACACTCTGATCATGTCCGGCTTAAGCTAGTGTGGCTAATTTAGCAGGGAAATGGAGCGGTGTTCTGGTTATCTGCCCTCATGGCTGCTGTGAGGATGTTTCGGGATGAATCTTCAGCACTACCAAATGAAGGTATTGTGGGTAATCTACTGATACAGGTTCATGTCTGCAGGTCATATAGAATCATGGCTATTTACTCATTTTCTTTGTTTTGAAAACAGTTGCCTACATGTTCTTCTGTTTAGAACCACACAGAGCTGCTTCAGTTCAACGCTTGACACAAGAAAACAAAAAAAAAATTATTATCTTAAGCACGATGAAGTAAAAACTGGAGCCATTTCCCACCAGATCTGGAATCTGGAAATGCCACGACAGGAATCAGTCTTCTACTTGTGCATCCTGCCAAAAACCTCTTCCGATGTCCGTTAAAGGATGAATATCCCGTTAAAGATCCACACCAGAGCTGGCGAGGGGCCACATCAGCTCTGACAGTTTGAAACCAAAACTTCACCTATTTTTGATTTATTTTTTGCATCTCAATCTGATTATTTAAAAACCTAAATGTGTGTTTTTTATTTATAATAAGTCCAGTTGTGTTCACACTAACCCTCCTCCTGATCTTTTCTAGCCTCTGAAAACCTTAAACTGACAAAAGAATGTTTTATATCAACGATCACATTAAGTAAAAGGGTGAAAAATGTTAATGTAACACGACCATTTACACCTGTTAGTTTTATTTGCCAGACTTACTGTGAGGTTTATTTAGTAACTGGTCGTGCTTTTGGCCGGTTTACGGCGTCACGAGAGTAACTCTCAGGGTTAAGCATCCATGTTGAGGTGCAGGTCCCAGTCATCATTACTATTTCTAATGTTTTATCATCATTCTGCAGAAGAAACTTTTGGCTGTAGGGCAGAACCTCGCCCACCCGTCACAAACTGGTTAACAGACTGGAGCCTGACGGGAGAACGTCTGGGACATGTCCTACCTTGAAACTGGTGGATCAACATCAAAGCGTTGGCGAGGAGCCAGACGTAGGCCAAGTCCATGCTGCTGCTCGGGTTCCACGAGTCGAATCAAGAGGTGACAACAGTTCCCAAGTTTTAATCAGAAATAGTAAAATCAACAGAAAACCCGTCCCTGTTGACCAAAACAGTCGAAGCTTTTAACGTCTCCCATAAAACACACAGCAAGCCGGTCCGGAGCAGGTAAGCGGCTCTCTGGAGGGTGCAGAAGCTGCTGCTCTCTCCAGATGCAGGCAGGGTACTGGACCGGGTCGGACCCCGCTGCTGTGTGATAACAGAGGGGAGGAGGAGGAGGAGGAGGAGGAAGCAGCTCCTGCAACGGGACACCTTAACTGGATCATAAATAACAGCCTCCTCCGGTTCGGCAAGGCGCGCTCTCACTGTGGTCCGCTCACTGTTGGGTCTTTATGTAACCCGGACTCTGACGTGTTCCCCAGGGTTGTCCTCACATATGGAACGAACCTGCTTGTTTTCACTGCACAAGTGTGTGTGGAGGGATCTGGAGTAAATATTGCTACAAGACCAAAGAATAACCATCTGAAAACGTGACCAGAACCAGTCCCAGGTCCATCATCACAAGCATCCGTGTTGAGGTGCCGGTCCTGGTCCTCATTAGTGTTTCTGCCTTTTTTATCTATTTTCTTCGTCTTCCTTCACCTCCTAAATCTATTGTTCTGGACACAAACACAAAGAAAAAGTTCTCCAGACCCACTGGGTTTCCACTGAACAGCTCATCTGCTGCAGGAGGACCAGAAACACGAACAAGCACAGCTCAGACCTTCAGAACCAGCTCTTAAGTCAGCACTCACAGGGCCACCGTACTTTTCCGAGACTGCAATTCGTTACATTTATGTTATTATTCAGAATACTACAGATCAGACAGAAAAACACCTGTGCTCCTGTGCATTCACATGTATTTAGCAAATGCTCAGTCTTTCATTTTAGAGACAAGCTGGTGAAAACGCAATAAAAGTTGTTTATTTTTCTTCAGGTCAAAAGCAAGACGCTGCCAAAAGAAGAGGGTTCTCATTGGCGTGTGTGTGTGTGTGTGTGTGTGTGTGGTGAGGAAGCGGCATCCTTGTGAACGTACTACCTCAGTCTGGTCTCCGACTCCTACCAGAGCAATCGGACACATCTCTACTGGTGGGTTCCAGACATCCCATAATGACTCAGGACACCTGCATGTGTAAAACCCAGCAGGATGAGTCCCTGACCCTCACCCAGGTGAAGTGAGAACCCTCGGGAATATTGTGGGACCCTTTAGTAACTCCCTCCAGAGTGTTGTTGGCAGCGGTGGAAACTGGCACCCGCCACGGCCAAATGCGGGTAAATTCATGAAGTGGCGGGTTAAGTGGCACAACACACACGCCACAGTGGCAGGCCTCAAGTACGAAAATAAAGCAGCGTTGTCTATACAGCTGACCTGCCGGGGGCAGCAGCGCGCCCGTGATGCCGTTAGTCTGCCGTTCTCATTAAAAGAAGAAGTGAACAGCAACGTTAGCGACGTAGCTTTACATTCCTGATGTTCAGCGGGTGGCGGAAAACAAAAATGATTCTCAAGAGGAGCCAAAGGATGAAGCGACAGTTCTGACAGTTGGTGTGAACATCAGATGACATCATGTGATCTGGGACTTTTTCTCCTTCATTGTGGATTAGATGAAAAGAAGGGAATGGACTGACGTGAATAGGAAGCAGCCAGTGTTTGTGAAGAATAAAGCTGAAGTGTAGAGAAACTCCCTCAGAGCAGAGATAGAAGCCGGTAACCGAGGCGAGTGCTTCACATAAAAAAATGTGGCCGGTGGAGAAAAAGTTTAATCTCCACCCCTTGTTGTTGGTCTGATGTGGTACGGCTTGGTGAGGTAACGGCTTTGAGGTTCAGAAAGCTCTCTTTCCTGTCTGAACGGAGCTCCTCAGACGAGAACCAACACCACCTCATAAAAACCTCTCAGATCTACAGCTGATGGAAGACTCTGGCGTTCCCAGGAACAGACAGATGATGGGGTGGATCCAGGTGTGGATGTGGGAGTGCGAGATGGGAGTTCACTTGCTCAACCCAAGCTGGGTCACTTCAGGAGGAAACTGAAGCAAATTGAGTGAATCATCCTCCATCAATCATTTCAGTCCCAAATGGGCCATTTTCTTCTTCCCTACTTTAGCAGACAATATTTCTGCATATTTGTTGGGATCGACGTGCCGAGAGTTCTCCTCTCAGGTCATCTGGAACGACGTGCAGCAGGAGAATGACAAAACCACAGACAGCAGCTCTGCATTGGGCTGACTTTTTCATCTTTTTTGGGCCAAGCTGGAGAAGCTGCCTCGCTGCCTTTCTGTCGGTCTGACCAGGGAGTGGCGTTGTGGTCAACCATCAGGAGATTAACAGGGACAATCCAAACATCTGGGAGCCACACTGTGGTGCACAGGACTCCAAAGAGTCTCTTGGTTGAGTTTCCCTAAAACAGCCTACGAAGGCCCTATAAACACCCACACACACACCACCTAAACCCCCAATAAGACCGCGGTGACCAGAGACGTTCCTGATTCACCTCCACTAAAGTGTCTAAAACCATCTTCTGGTGAAACATATGAAACAAAGCTGTTCTAATTAAAACCAGTTTGTTTGTCAGTCATTAGCCACTTCTCCAGATTTAATCATTCATGGGGATTTATTAGAACTCAAATAAACAGCTGCACACACTCCTTCCATTGCTTGGTTCTTTTAAAACACAGCAGAAACAGTTGCTCTTCACCTTGTTTGCTAACGTTTTGTCTAATGACTTTAGCCATCCTCAGAGCTGTGCCGATGTTGGTGGCGTCACTTTTTTGTCCATTTATCTGTGCGACATCGCCCTCCTCATCGATGGCACAGTCCCATGCGTGATCCAACGTGTAGACTCCATCGTCTCTGTTCATGGTTCCATGTCCATGTCTCCTTATTCTATGGCTTCCTTAATCCGTCTTTTATATTTCTGTTGCTCTGCGTTTATGATCCGTGTGTTGTCCCAGTTCATTATTTGGTTTTCCCTTGTACAGTCAGTGACTTGATGCAACCTGCTGGGTTCCTTATATAGGAAACTTTTTACTGATTGGCTTAATGACCTGACCTGTGTTAGAATATTTACTGTGGGAAGGTCCTTGAGACGACTCGTCGTGATTTGGCGCTATAGAAATAAATTTGAATTGAACTGCAGTGGTCTGTTACAGCTGATTTCTTCATTGTACTTCCTTTTAGAGGCCAACCGATATATCGGGCCGATGTATTCAATTTCTTCCACAGCGGCCATCGACTGAAATTATTTAAAAAGCCAATAAAATACATTTTTCTTAAATCAGGCACCAGTGTGGTCAACTGCCGCCACTACTAGACTGAAGAAAGGACCCAAAGGACCCTAACACACAATTTTTGTAATGTTTTGAGTTTGTTTTCTAATTGAAGGTCAGTAAATATTAAGAGATTAATTGACTTATTTAATTTATATTTCACACAGTGAGTGTCCAGTGGTCTTTCACGATCAATGTGCTGCTAAAACGTAAATCAGCCTTAATAATCGGCTTCAGATATCAGCCATCTGCAACAAAATTCTTTAAAAATTGGTATCTGCATTGGCCTTTAAAAACACTTATTGGTCGGCCTCTACTTCCTTCTCACACTCTTTTCTATGTTCTATTGTTTGTGTGTTGAGTCGGTTTCTCCTATGTATGTATGTAAGCACCTGTATAAAGTATTCATGATGCCAAGTTAGCAGGGGATTTCATAAATGACTCCACACTTATGTTCTGCTGATATCGTGTCTTGCCTTTTGGGTGTACTAGCCTGCTTTAACACACCTGATTTCAATCAGCAGGTGATTAACAGCCAATCTGGTGTGTTGGACCAGAGAAACCACTAAAACGTACAGGATACCTGCCCTTGAGGCCTGAACTTGAATATATTTATGTATTTAGTAGACGCTTTTGTCCAAAGCGACTTACAAGTGATAATCGGCATGTTGTCCTTGAGGCTAACAACAACAGTAACAACAACAACTTGACATCAGTCATGGAGAGGAGGAAACAAGGAGTGGACAGTAGAGAGGGGGGACGGGTGCAGGGAGGGTGCTAGTTTAGAAGATGCTCTCTGAAGAGCAGGGTCTTCAGGAGTTTCTTGAAAATTGAAAAGGAAGCCGCAGTTCTGGTAGTGCTTGGAAGGTCATTCCACATTTGTGGAACGATGCATGAGAAGAGTCTGGATTGTCCTGAGCGTGGTGTAGGCACTGCTAGCCGACGATCCTGTGATGACCGGAGCAGCCGGGCCGAGACGTAAGCCTTTACAAGAGGATTCAGGTAGATGGGAGCCGTACCATCTCGGACTTTGTATGCTAGTGTTAGCCATTAGAATTTGATGCGTGCTGCTAGCGGTAGCCAGTGGAGCTCAATGAACAGAGGGGTGACGTGTGCTCTTTTTGGCAGCTGCGTTCTGGACCATTTGAAGAGGTCTCAGAGTACAGGTTGGAAAACCAGTTAGAAGGGCATTGCAGTAATGGAGGCGGGAGGTGACAGTAGATTACACCAGGAGCTGGGTGGCATGTTGTGTTAGGTATGGTCTGATCTCTCGTATGTTATACAGCGCAATGCGGCATGAACGAGCAACAGAGGCAACATGATCTTTAAAGGTCAGGGGTTCATCAATCACAACACCCAGATTTCAAACTGCCTTTGAAGGAGCCAGTGATAGGAAGTCATTTTGGATTGAGATATTGTGCTGTATGGATGGTTTTGCTGGGATGACAAGTAGTTCAGTTTTAGAGAGGTTGAGTTGGAGATGGGGGGATTTCATCCATTTTGATATGTCAGAGAGACAGTTTGATATTTATGCAAAGACAGTGTGGTCGTCCGGTGGAAATGACAGACAGAGCTGGGTGTTGTCTGCATAGCAGTGGTAGGAGAAGCCATGAGATCGAATGATCTCACCCAATGAGGTGGTATATATGGCAAAGAGAAGAGGTCCTAGTACAGAGCCCTGGGGGACTCCTGTGGCAAGATGGTGCATGGTAGAGTATTGTCCAAGCCAAGATACACTGAATGATCATCCTGTGAGGTACAATTCAAACCAGGCGTTTGCTTTCTCTGTGATGCCCATGCTAGAGTGTGGACAAAAGGAAGCCATGGTTGATAGTGTCAAATGCAGCCGATAAGTTGAGCAGGATAAGCACTGAGGATTTGGCAGTCGCTCTAGCTTCTTTTAATGATTCCGTCACTGCTATCAGAGCAGTTTCAGTGGAGTTGCCCTTTTTGAACCAAGATTGGTAAGGGTCAAGCAGACAGTTTGGTGAGAGGTATTCTGTGATCTGATTGAAAGTCACCCTTTCAATGATTTTGGACAGAAAAGGGAGGAGAGAGATAGGTCGGTAGTTCTCCACGATTTGGAGGAAGAGATGTTTTTTTAGCAGCGGTTTAACCTGAGCATGCTTGAGAGAGGTGGGAAATGTACCAGACGTCAGTGAAGCGTTAATCACGTGTGACTGCTGCGGCTACTGTAGGAGCAATAGCTTGGAGCAGCTTCGTCGGAATGGGGTTAAGTGGACATGTAGTAGGGCGGCTGCACCTGAGAAGCTTGGACACACAGTTCTCAGTGAGAGGGGAAAAAGCAGGTGAGGTGAATAGCCCTGGATTAGTGTGTCATTGTCTTCTTCTGTAATCCTTTTCTCAGTTATTTTGCCAGTTATGTGCTGGTTTTGCAATGTTGCTCTGTGTTACCTAATAATGGACTGATAATTTTGCTTATTTCTTTTGCCATATTGTATGTCAGTGTATCTATGCTGTCTACTATAGGTCTACGTGGAATGTTCAGTTTGTGGACTTTTAGGGTTCCATACATTCTTGGGATTATGTTTGCTGTTAAAATCCAGTGTTTGTACTTTTTTCTGTTATTCTGCCCTTTTCTTGTAATGGTTTAAGTAATTGTTTAGATGTTTTTCTTGATGCCTTCAGTTGGATCTTTTTGGATAGTTTGTATGTATTGTTGTCCTCCAGCATCGGTTATTTATATTTGTCTTTGTCCATTATCGCTGTAGTTCTTCTTTTATCTGCAGGTAGAATACTGATGTGCTCATTTTTGGATAGTGCTGTCATGGCTGTTCTTTCCTCTTTTGTAATGTTGCTGTAACTTTTTTCCCTGTGTTTTAAGTTAACCGAGCAACGCAAATTAATGTTTATGTATTTTAGGGCCCGACTGATATGCCTTTTTTGGGACCGATACCGATATAAAACTTTTAACAAAAGCCAATAGCCGATATAATGGCCAATAAATCTCCCTCACAAAAAAATAAATAAAAATAAAAATTTTCTTAAGCTGTTAAGGTTTTCTCATTTAGTATTCAAGTCTTATTTTTTTCTTCCACTGAATTTTCTACTACTTTTGTTGTCAGGTTTTATTCTAGTTATTCTTCTTTCCCTTTTAGGTTTCTTTCTTCTTCTTTTAAATTATTTTCATTTATAGTTCCTCCTATGTTCCCCTGCTGTACTCTGCTCCCACTCACAGCTCCTCCTCATAACTAGTCCTCTGTCATCTCTCACTCCTCAGTGTATACAGTTCAGTTTCAGTCACACTCTGCTGGTTTCAGCATCCTAGCTACCTTTTTTATTTTGGTCACCTGATTTTTGGCATTAAAATACTTTTGAGTTTTACACTTTTGTGTTTTGGATCCTTTCCAAAGCCGACAGTATTAGGAAAATAAAAACTAAGATACGTTAAATGACTAGTATGTAGCAATGTATAAAATATAAGGCTGGAAAAAATACAATAGATGTATCCTATTGTAGAAAGCAATGTTTATTTTCTCGTCGTATTATCACAACGCTTCATTGCCTTGTTGCCAACCCCCCTTCCCCCGTTCTCAGCAGCGACAGCGGTTGAGTGAGTTTGAGAAGGCTGCTGAAGAAGAGCGGATGAAATTGTTTGAGAATATTCCAGAATGTCTACCAGAAAAAGGCCATCATCCTTACTTACTGCCCTGCATGACTAAAGGGGAAGCAGCAAGAGCTATGCATAGAGCATAATGCTGCAGCAGTTTTTTTTTCAGGGTAACTTTTCAATACGAGGCCACGAGGAACACAATAAACTTTTCTGATTGCTCATTATACCGTTTAACTTACCACTGACACAACAAATATGCTTAAAACTGAAGACTTACCTCCTACTTCCTCATCACCGTCATCTCTGCTTGACTGAATTGCTTGCTTCTGCTGCTCCGCTGCATGTGTGCTGTGAGGGTGGCTCCACCCCCTGAGGAGTGGAGCCACACAACGTGAGTTCATGAAGCTGGCGCCATCTGCTGGATAGGTAGCGCAATATCTGCCATCTTTTTGGCCGATAGCCGGTAGTGTTAATGACCCCAATATCGGCCGATATATCGGTCGGGCCCTAATGTATTTAGCAGATGCTTTGTCCAAAGCGACTTACTGGTGACAAATTACAAGTTGACAAAATACACAGAAGATGTTTGCAGACACTCCTGCTGAATGTTTTTACCTCTTCTGTCAGATTTATGCCAAGTTAAAGTAGACTGAGAGGTAGGGGGGTTGATTTTATCATGGCTGACAGTTTTTGGTTTCTAGAGAATCACGCCTTTACCGTAAATAGTCCTTTTACTGCAGCTACGTTGGCCATATTTAGCTTCAGACCCAAAGTAACAGCAAAGACCCAAACCGACATCTGTAACAGGGTAAGTAGTCTGTATTATTCAGCTCCTTCTAGAGTTCTAGAACCCCCAAAGCTCCAGAAATACCAGAACCTTGTACTTTCATATGGTCCTGTTATGTTTAACTCACCCTAACCCTGCATGATTCGTTTACCTTAAACCAACTGCACTCAGGTGAGCAGATGAATGGTTTCTCAGACTCCTAACAGAGTGTTAGCCTTGGGTTTTACCCAGAGAAAATGTTTCTGCAAAAGGAGCCATGGCACGGTAAATTTTATGGAAGGTTGTGACTTAGTCAAACAAACGATCCAGGCAGGAAACTAAAACACGGTTTAATCCTTCAGCCTCCAACACACCACACAGATTTATTTTATCATCCTTTTGGTTAAAGACCCTAAAAATGTGCAGTGGGTTTGTGTTCCTGCAGGATGACATCAGCTGTCATGATCTCACACATGATCCAAATGTTTCAGATTAAAAAAGACTTTAAATGGTAAAAGAAACTTCAATGAAGTGGTTTGTTCTGCTTTTCGTTCAAACAAAAAACTGTTTCAATTATTAATACATAAAAAATGTACAAACTGGATTCCTAAAAGGTTGTGACACTATACAAATCCTGAATAACAACTGAATGCAATGGTGTGGAGGAGCCAATTTCTAATATTTGATTCAGAATAGAACATATATCATGGAACAAATGTTTAAACTGAGAAAATGTATCATTTTAAGGGAAAAATATGTTGATTTAAAATTTCATGGTGCCAAAAAAGTTGGGACAAGGCCATTTTCACCACTGTGTGGCATCTTCCCTTCTTACAACACAAAACAGACATCATCACTTGCAAATCCAATAGGGAACACTGCCTGATTAATCGCACCTGTGTATATTGAACTCAGCATGTTGTTGAGATGTTAGTCTGACGAACACACAAGTTGAAACGTTAGTCTTTTTTTGTGCTCACACATATGGAATATTTTGTCATTTTGAGTGCTCCAGCCTTCATTTTGCTTATATTTAAAATTAGACCCAATAAGTAACAAATACCACTGTTGTGTGCTTTATTTAAAATCGATTTGCTCGTGTGTACTTTGGTTATTCCACATTCAGTGATACAGCAAAATGAAGTTTGTTTCCAAATTAAAAGGTTCAACCGTTCAGACCTGAAGGTAAAGGAAAATGTGCACATTTGCCCCCCTTTTAAAAAAATTCTGAGTTTGGCCCGCGACTTCGTACCAGTTTTTCATTTCGGCCCAGTGTGAATTGAGTTTGACACCGCTGGCTTAAGCCTGCTGCACACAAGAGCAATCTGCTGAGCAAACAGCCTCGAATGACCGTTTGCACAGCAGATTGCTCGCCGTGTACGCCAGATTTTCACTGAGTTTTCTGCCTCACGAGACGCTGAACCGAATATCTGACCAGTCAGATATTTTCCGCCTCACGGGGGGTAGAAACTCACCCTGTGCGCACTACTGAGCTGCTGGCTGAGCGTAACTATTCTAGTGGCCAATCAAAGCGCGTTCTCTGCTCCCATGACCCCAAGATGTATTCAGATGCAGCCCCCTGCCCTGCCTGCATGTCTGAAAAATAAACAAAACAGTACCTTGCGGATCGATGGGCCCACTGTTTCCATTACCCTTTCGAAGGATCCGGGGGGCCGTACTGTCGGAAGGATTCTGGGTCTTCCAGGTGCATCTCTTGGAGTAAATAGGCATAAACTCCTTGCCTGGCACATCTTTCCAGCCACCGTACACATACTTTCCTAACCTTGAAATGCCGTTGGCGGTGAGGCTTCATCAATTAAAAAAAGTAGAGGCATTTCCTCCGTTTCCAACTCTGTCTCCGTTTTGTTTACTTTCTGACACGCAGACAGGGGGCTGCCATCTTGGAATCATGTGATCAGAGAACGTGCTTTGATTGGCCACTAGAATAGTTAAGTTCAGCCAGCAGCTCACGTAGTGAGCACAGGGCGAGTTTCTACCCCCTGTGAGGCAGAAAATATCTGACTGGTCAGATATTCGGCTCAGCGTCTCGTGAGGTGGAAAACTCAGTGAAAATCAGGCGCACACGGCGAGCAATCTGCTGAGCAAACGGCCATTCGAGGCCGTTTGTTCAGCAGATTGCTCTCGTGTGCGGCAGGCTTTAAAGTCTCTTTCCGGAGTATTTCTCTTACCTGATGGCACCATCTAGTGGCGGACAAGCATACTACACAAAAAGTCTGTCGCTCAGTTTTTTTAAGACAGCGACTTCACGTTTCTAGTTTATAAATGTGCTTCTGTAGCCGACAAACGGAGTGAAAACACGTTGTTTACAAGTAGTATTCTCATGTCATGTTGTGTTTTCGTATATTTATATTTTAAAGACTTTCTTGTTCATGAAAACTTAATCAAGTCCACATCAGCTGAGGTATTCCTTAAATTTGAAGCATCTAAGAGGTAGTTTAACGCTATTGGTTAGTTCTGATCGGCGCTCAGTTTCAGGGGGCGTGCTTAGCACAAAAAAAAGACGTATTGCTACATTAAATCATAGTACATGATAAGATAATCACTTTAACGATTTCTGAAAGTAGAAAACTACAGAAAGCTACTTTAAAGCACCACAAAGTGTTTCCTGCTTCTCCCTTGTACTGGTTTAAAGTGGAACTACAATTGTTGTAAACAACCCAGCAGCAGCCTGCTGCTAATGCCAACACGAGCCAACTGACACTAAATAAGCCACAAAGTAAAAAGATCCACATTGTTGGACAAAAAATATTGTTACTAAGAAGTCCAGTAGCAACAAAGCCAGGTCACCATCAGTCCATGATTTTGTAGCCTCCTTTAGCTTCCTCAACCTTTGGCCGAAGCTTGATGATCGACTTTGTTGTCGTTGTTGTTATTTGATCTGCGGCCACACGTGTTCTACAGTCTGGTAAAGAAAAGGGCAGAGCTGTCAACTGACCACTACCTGGTAGTGATTTGGCTTCGATAGTGGAGGATGCGGATCAAACCTGGCTGACCCAAGCACATTGTGAAGGTCTGCAGGGAACGTCTGGCGGAGTCTCCTGTCAGAAGAAGTTTCAATTTCCACCTCCAACAGAACTTCCAAAGGGGGAGGCAGGGGACACTGAGTCCGAGTGGGCCATGTTCCGTGCCTCCATTGTCGAGGCGGCCGACCAAAACTGCGGCCGCAGGGTCGTCGATGCCTGTAATGGTGGAAATCCCCGAACCCAGTGGTGGACAACGATGGCTAGGGAAGTCGTCAAGCTGAAGAAAGAGTCTTATAGGGTCTTTTTGGCCTGTGGTACTCCAGGGGCAGATGAGGGGGCACCAGCAGGCCATGCAGAATGCAGCTTGAGTGGTCGCGAAGGAAAAATCCTCATGGGAGGAGTTCGGTGAGACCATAGAGCAAGATTTCCGTATGGCTTTGAGGAGATTCTGGTCCACCATCCGGTGCCTCAGAAAGGGAAAGCAGTGCTCTATCAACACTGTTTTCAGTGGAGACAGTGTGCTGATGACTGCTATTCAGGACGTTGTGGATCGGTGGGCAGAGTACTTCGAAGACCTCCTCAATCTCAGCAGCACATTTTCCAGTGAGGAGGCCAGGGACTTTGGGTTGGGCTCTCCAATCTCTGGTGTGGACATCACTGAGGTTGTCAAAAAGCTCCTTGGTGGAAAGGCCTTGGGGGTGGGTGAGCTCCGCCCAGAGTTCCTTAAGGCTCTGGATGTTGTAGGGCTGTGTTGGCTGATACAGCTCTGCAGCATCACGTGGACAGCGGGGGCAGTCCCACTGGATTGGCAGACTGGGTGGTGGTCCCCGTTTAAAAAGGGGAGCTGCAGGATGTGTTCCAACTACAGGGGGATCACCCTCCTGAGCCTCCCTGGTAAAGTCTATTCAGGGGTTCTGGAGAGGCGGGCCTGACGTAGGGTTGTCACGGTGTGAAAATGTAACCTCACGGTTATTGTGACCAAAATTACCACGGTTTTCGGTATTATCGCGGTATTTTTTTTAAACGTGCTACATTTTCACACAATTAAATAAACCCTGTATGTCAGGAAATATTGTCCTCAGTTTGTGTCTATGTTTGCCTAAAATGTATCTTGTAATTATGTTGTTTATTTGTTTACATTTTTCCCTTTAGTCTTTAAAATACCAATATTTGCCCATAACTTCTTATTTTTTGTCTGTCTGATGTCATCATTTTAAAAATATTAGATCAGATGATACTCAGTACTCAAGTAGCCTTCTAATCAGATACTTTTTTTAAATAAACCCTATATCAGGAAAATATTGTCCTCGGTTTGTGTCCTTCCAGTGAGCTTTGCAGATGTGGGAAAATGTCATAAATTCATAATTATTCTCGGAGAGAGACCAACTTATCTGCCCCTGGGAGCCCCGTAATGCATAGCGTCATTTCAACATGGAGGTGTCCGCGACACGGTTTATATGCAGGTAGCAGCGCTGCG